GCCGAGCCGTGCGTAAGATTCTTCATGCATTAACACACCTCCTTCATCTCTGTGACTCTCTACTGAGATGACCATTCATCCTGGGATGACTGGAACAGTTCTAGGCAATTGCTGGTGTCTTGGCCTAACTATTTATAAATGCACACTCTCCAGAATCCCAGTTCACAAAACAAATGATATGTCTTTCCACTCCTGACTCTAGATGCCTGGCCTGACTACACACTTAGACTGGTGGCTGCTGGTCCTCTGAGCGGCTTCCCTCTGTGTGGTGGTTACCCTACCCCCCCCCCCCACCAGCTGCGGTATTGACCTGACAGTGTAACTCTATTCTAAGACAGACATGACATCAGCAGAAGAAGAGGAAATGATAGGAGCATGTGACAATGGCCTGGTCCTCCAGGAGCTAGTCATTCCTCAGGACCCAGGTATCCAACATTGAAACCCCATGCATCAAGAGTGATTTTTCCCCCCAATCTGGAAATGATCTGAACCTGGCCTAATTTCTATATTATACGCAAAGAAACTGCTTTCTACCACCTCAGAACTTTCAGGAGCAACCCACTTCCACAGAGTTTCTTTCTTTACCATACAATTTTTTGGAGTTTGCGTTATCATTGTCAGGCCTCTGCTTTGACGTGTGTGTGCAGCTTTCCCCATCACGAGACCTCACCAGGGAGCAACTGGCTAGGAGAAGCTGGACCAGAAAGGGCTGAGTCAGCAAGGACCACTGTTGCAGCAGGCACACCTGAGGGGGCTGGGGTGAGCGGGAAGGTGTGTGAGCTGAAGTCAGCAGAGACGGTGATTTAAATTTAAATGATGCATTTTTTTAAGCGGTGCACTTTAAAAAGTGGCACAATAAAAAAATACACCCAACTTTCTCCATCATGCCCAGCTCAGTCGTGTTACTCCACAGGGAAATCCATGCCCATCCAGTCCTGATATGGAAGGGGAAAAGGAAGCAGACTAATATTTACAGTTTATAACATTAAATATAACACCTCTGAGCATATTCTTTCCTCATTTCTTCCCCCCCTCATTTCTAATACAGGGATCAGTGATACCTACTTGAAGGTATTATTTTTCAGAACTAAAGAAAAAAGTTATATTGGATTCCATCTGAGTTCTAATTGTAAAACATTACATACTTTCCTATGTCACTTTAAGGCAGTCAGAGTTTAAGTTCTTTCAGAGGCATTTTAAGAAAACCAAGTGGGATAGAACTTTTGAGGGAGGTGGAGATAAAGTGTTTAGATATTTACAATTCTCCTAAAAATGCAATTATGTAAGCACGTCTTCAGCGGTGTGCTGGTAAACCATGTCTCTGGGGGAAACAAAAACAAAACCTCATGAAACCTGATTTGCAGCATATGCCAATTTCTGTGGTGTAAATATTTCCAGTGTGGCCCATTTCAGGCTTCCAATGGTTTAACAACACACTTGTGGAATTCCTAAATATTTAATAAGTAATCAGCTCTCAAGAGCTGAGACAAGCCTGCTGTAGCACTCCACTGTGGTAATTCTATACCAAGTATGTGCTAATATATCATTTGGGTACTATTCTTGGGCACATGATCTGTATAAAACTTCCCAGCCTAAGGAGGGTCAGTGTGTTGGAAAATGTAATGTGCCACCCAGATTTCTCTTCAATGAAGGCCTTGTTGCCCTGCTGCTAGAAGCCCTGTCCATCCCTCCAGGGGGCCACAGGCAAAGATAGAACAATTTGGTATTGTAGAGGCCTGGCCATGAGTGCAACTGTGATGACTCTGAAAGCCCACTCTAGCTGCAGAATTCCCTAAGGAATCAGTCAAAATGGTTGGGCCTGCATCACAACTTAACTTCTCTGTCTAACCACCCAGGATTCCTTCCACTTTTATGCATAAGCGTGAATCACTAGAGCATATAATAAACACCCTGCTCTCTAAACTGTACCTCGGGGTCCACTGCTTCTCTGGGAACCCACCACGTGATGGAGAGATAGGTGAAGATCACCTGAAGTATAGGACATTCTTACTCCACACACCTCAGCCTGGGGTAGAACTTGGTCAATCAGTGCCCACTTAGCCTGTGATTAGAAATGGATTTGGGAGGAGCTGCTGGGAGACCCCCCCAACTCAAGATGGCTTAAATGGCAACAGGAGACAACCCAGTCAAATGCACAACCCCTCCTGTGCCCAGTTGTATGTGGATCCCACTTCAGGCTATATAAAGCTACTAATGGGAGCTTCTCAATGACCTTGGGAGAGAACAGGGAAATGCACTTGGACAGAACCTTACAGAACTGCACGCTGGAGGCCAGCAATGATAAATGTGCACTTCTGGCACTGTTTAATATTTTAGAAGGAACAAAGCAAAGGGGGAAAGAATGAAAAGATCCATTTTTTTCTATGTTCTTAGGCGTAAAGTCTGCTGGGAAATCTGTTGTTCCCTCCTGCTTCCCTTCTGTGTTCTGTCCTGGGCTCGGCCTTCCTTTCTCTCTGTCTCCCACTGCCTTGCATCTCTCTCTGCCTCCTTCCACTCCTACCTGACTATTTGGAGACAACATCTCCAGCAAGTCAGCCCTCTGCATTGCAAACAAGCATCACAGAGCCCATGTACTTCACCTTACAAAGAAATCTGTGATAGATGCTTGGATATAAAATAGTCAGCAATTAAGACGGGGCACAGTGGGGAGAAGCAGCTGCTTTCAAGCTGAGAATAGCAGAGGCCTGGCTGCATCATCCATTCACTTATCAAGATCCACAGAACGTTCACCATGTATCAGGCCCCCTGGAGTATGATGTGATCACAAAACAAACTAGTTCCTGCCTCCTTGGAGCCTGCAGTCTAGTGAAGAGGTAGACATTAATCAGCATCAGGGTGGTGCCTGTGGCTCAAAGGAGTAGGGCGCCGGCCCCCTATGCCGGAGGTGGCAGGTTCAAACTCAGCCCTGACTAAAAACTGC